AGATTATTATCAAATGACAACATCATACCAAAGCTGTCCGAATAATAGAGAAAGAGAGAGAGAGAGAGAGATCAAAGAAAAAAAATAGCTCAGAAATTGATCGAGACTATTTTGCTATCATACCTAACGAATGATAAGTTAGTTCTTCAGGCATATTAGTTTTGTTTTCTATACATTATATAGATTTGTTATAAGGAAAATGTGGCTAAATATTTGAATATAATAAGAACGATTAATTGAAATATTCAACTACATAGTAAATGACAACTAACTTTCGAGGTATAGTTCATTTTCTAAAGGGAAGAAAACAGCAAGTGAATCTTTATGGGAAAAAAATTGATCATGGGAAATAAATCAAGAACAAAAATATAAAACGGAGATTAGACTTTTGTTAATATTTATTTATGCGATAGACTACTGTGCACTATTGTCACAAAAAAAGAAAATCCAACAGTAGTTTTTCAATGTTATACTCTTTTCTTAATCTTAACTGATTATACACGAAAATTATTTCAGTACAAAGATAAAAAAAATAGTTCAGGAAAAGAAAGATTCAATCTCAATAAAGCTCAAAACAAAAAGTAAAAAGAATATTGAATTGACTCTTATCAAAGTTGAATTGTTGAAACAAAGAGATCAAGATAAAGAGTAAGTAGTTGAAATAAAAGCTTAATTTTAATATTTAAAATCTGAATAATAAAATAATATAGTTGTAGTATCTAAATCTATAGAATAGAAGATTTAATGTAAGATTAAATTGAATATTTTCGAAAAATTCATTTAATACCATTTTAATCTTTATCTTACTTAGTTAACAATGAATCTAACATATATTCAATGATGTGGTATCCAATTACATCACTTGTAATATTAATATGTTCAAATATTTTACTACATATTATTTTTATTATTTCAACAATTTGGTCAAATAAATGGAAAACACGTTTGGCTATTCAAAACGATTTATCAATGAAAATTTTACCTAGTCAGTTTACAATTGCTTTTTGTCATTTTGCTTAATATTTTTATAACTAAAATTTGAATTTCAACGTTCAATTTGAAAAATAAATTCATAATGATTATATACAAAATATGAAGTCGTTCATACATACTATGAAGTAGAGATTTGCAGTAGATAAATATGAACAGTTAGCTAAGATTTCAAAAATCTGCCTTGTGAGTTGTGGAAAAAAAAATGTGAGATTTGAGACAAATAACGACGTGTTATTAATTTTTATTTTTCCTCTACTACGATTGTTTAGTAATGCGAGCTTTACTATTAGCAAAAATCGAACAAGTCTTTATTAGGGTTTCCGATTATTCTTAGGAATGGGAGGAGCTAAAAATTTTGCTTCACAGAAAGCGATTGGCGGAAAAAAGTTGCTTGTGGTAAAACGTCCAAGATTTTGTCGGAAAGTCCAAAAACGTATTTAGGGAGGAGCCAGCCTCTCCCTGCCCCCCCCCTCTTTTATCGGAAAGCATGGTCTTGATCCAGTAAAACTCGGTAAATTAATATGTCTGTTAAGGAATATTCGAGGATTGGAAAAGTTTTGTGTTTAAGTATAGGGAATAAAAGTGAGCGAAAGAAGTAGGTTCGACTTTAAGGGCCCCCTCATCCCTCAGAAATGGTGATTTTCGGTCAAAAAATCGGTTTTGAGATACGCACATTACAGGCTGAAGTGTCTACTTTCAGAATCCGTATCGCTTTCAGTTATAGAAGTAATTTTTCGCGGCTTTCAAGCAAGTTTTCTAGGAGCTTCGAAAAACTGAGTATAAAATGTAAAAAAGTTCATATGAGAATAAATGAATGACTGTTCTTCCTCGCCTCCTCTCATATGTACTATAAGAATTCTTGCATTCTTAGAAGATGATCCACAAAATATATTTGCAAAAGAAATTTAAAAAAATCTATGAACATAGATCGGAAAAAAGCTCTCTCTATGAACAACAGTATACAAAAAAGCTTTAAATATGAACAGAAAGAATTTGTCCATGCAGATCTCTACTATGAAGAAATAGTTGTATGAATAACTATCCGAAAATATCATTCAGTGACCCAATTTTCTGGGTTATTTATCTAGATTCAGCTCCACGTACATCTAGATCCACATGGAGCTGAATCTAGATAAATAACCCAAAAAATTGGATCGTTTTTGCTTGGGGAGTTGTCAACTTCCTTGAACACTTGAAAAAGAGGTAGTAAGTCGAAAATGTCTAAAAATTCTAGTTTTCCATTCTTCGTTTCATATCTCCAGGTTTATATGTTACATCAACTGCTACAACATCAACAGCATTCGATGATTGTTCATTAAGTACCATTCGATTAGCATCTAGTAAAAATCTTATCGATGATCAAACATCGTCTATATTTACTAAAAGTGTTCGACGTTATGCACTATTTCTTTGCAGTATATTATTCATAATTAATTGGTTTCGATTTGGTTTATATTCGTTTTCATGGTTTCCTTTATATACAGAAACGAATAATAAATTTTGCTTGATACAAGCTTTTCTTTTACACACATTTGATATTATTCATATTTATTTGACATGTTTAATTCGTATTTATTGGTTTTCCTGTTTAATATTTGAAAATTATTGGCAAAAAATCACATACAAAACATTATGTTTTATTCAATTATTTATTCTAATATGGACCATTTTACTCACGTGGCCAAGTACAACGAATGATTGGTCATCAATTGTCTATGAATCTATTACAAATTTGTGTATTGTTAATTATTCATTTAATCAATGGTATACAATTTTTATATTTTCCCTTGGATGTATCATACCATTTCTGATCGTTTTAATTATACATCAACAACAAATTACGATAATTAAACAACGAATAGTAAAATATATTTATTTATCTACTATTGATAAACAAGATCAAATTGAAATATATGCAAAAAACTTTAGACGTTCATCGTTTATCATTTTGTTTTTAATGTTTATTAATATTCTTCTTTTATCGTTTATTCATACACCAATTGAACCTACAAATAAATTTAATAATGATAACCATAATTTACTGATATCAGTATCTCAAACTCCCATCAACCAATGGAAATTTAAAATTAAACATATTCTATTTTATATTGAATTATTATCAATTATTTTTGAACCAATTATCTATATTAATGTGTTTCAATCTTCAATTTTAATCACTATATTAAGACCAATTTTATCATAAAATGTATTAGAACGTCTGAATGAATTGTTTTCATGTAAAATTAATACAATTTTATATTTACAAGATTTACTTTGACACTATGTTAATTATCTATTTCAGAATATTTTTACTCAATCTCATTTTGTATTTCACATTAGTAAAATAACATTCGTTTTGTTTGTTCTCAAGAGTTTTAGAAAATGTTTTTAAAAATAACAAGTACTTTCTATTGTTCTTTAAATTTTTTTTGTTGAACTCAGATAGCAGTGCCGATAAAATGGAGTAACTAATTTGAATCAATTTTGACTAAAATTTTGAATTTTTTAATCAAAATGGGTTATTGCAACTAACATAGGTTTTCACAAAGGTTTTCGATAGTGTTCTGAAAATAAGAATTTACACAAGACTTACGAGGTGTTTAATCGCTTTTGAGCCGATATTTTGCTCACAAGTAGGGGTTCTCTAGACTAGAATAACCCTAAGTTGGTTCGGATGTCTGAGCCTCTGAAGTCGAGCTATGAACTTTCAAATTTTTTGAAAAAAACCTGGTTTTTCAGAAAACCTAAAGACCTTGAAATTCATTTTGAAAATTTTTCGCTCACACCAGTCGACAACCTGTTCAGTTCTGCAAAACATGAGATGTCAACCAACTTTTCATCATATTAAATGACTGAGTTATAGGCTTTATAAAATTATTGGCATAAATTCTTTGAGATGTTTTCACTCAATGCTAAATTTTTGATCCACTTCATATTTTCAACATTATTTTTTAATGGAATCTCATGGAAACTTGGATGACATCTCATTTTGTGCAGAATTGTACGGGTTGTCGACTGGTGTGGTTAAAAAATTTTCAAAAAGAATTTCAAGATCTTTACGTTTTCTGGAAAACCAGGGTTTTCAGAAATCTTTTCTTCCAGATCCTGTGATGGTACATAGAATTTTTTCATTGATATAGACAGAACTCGACGAGCTCTTTCATTTGAGACTAAACTCAAGATTCTGCATTAGGTACTGCGGTTTGGACAAGTTTTACAAGTAAGGTCAAATTTGCTGGAAATCAGTGAAAAAATGCACTTTCCCGCTGGAAGGATAAAATGGTCATAACTTTTTTTCCTTACAAAGATGGAGAGCTGCGATTTTTACCATTCGATTCAGTTCGTCGAGTTCTATTAGGGAAGGTATATCTCGCCGTTTGCACCGATACTTTTGTATATCGCGTTAGATCTCATATGGATTTGAGTGAGTCTGTTGCGCTTTTTTCAAAAAACTTAAAATATGCATGCACGCTCAGACAATCGAACCAGCTTAGGGTTATTCTAGTGTAGAGATCCTCTAATTGCGGGCAAAATATCAGTTCAAAAGCGATTAAACACTTCGAGAGGTTCCCTCGTCAGCATAGTCGATAACCTATGTTTCCATCCACTTCTGAAGTTTTCAAAATCAATCTTGTAGCTCCTACATTCGATGCCACGTCTAAACGATGAAAAATGAAGATATTGGGAGGCACTATGAGCTCAATCGCTATCTATGAAAACCGCAAGTCTCCATCTAACTTGTTTCAAAAGTTATTCAAAAAGTTTATTTCAATCCCGTGTTTTGTAATGAATTAATAATTGTTTCACTGATTATTTTCTTAATATTTGATTTGCATAGACAAACTTTTTTATTTTTTATTTAAAAAAAATGTAAAAGAAATCATCGATGAACATCATGAGAAATACAAAAGAAAAATAGAATTTTGCAAGAAGTAACAGATAATTGTGTCTAGAACTCCGATACAACAACATGAAAAAATGTCTTTAAAGATAATAAAAATCTTTGTTTAATAAATAAATGGTATCATTCTAAATTTGGCAATGTTACAATATTTATTCCATAATTGATCACCATATTTCTTTTTACATCGTATATCATCTCTGCTAGCACGTTGTGATAAAAGTATGAAAAGTGATAATGGAAGAAAATAGGGAATGATCGATTGTGTTCCTGTACATAAAGCAATAGTTAAATAGACTAATATTTCTCCAGTATAATTAATATGACGACCAATGCCCCAAAAACCACTAATTAATAATTTTTTCTCTAATAATTGTGGTTTTTTAAACCAAATATTTATTTGATTACCATATTTTTTATAATCAAATTTTTGCCAATTTGATTCACGAAAAGTATATAATCCAATAAAAAAGAGAATTAATGTAATTATTATCCAAATACCTGATAAATTATTTTGATTATCTGCAATAAACCAACCACATAGACTATATAAAAATGGTACATATACTAAATCTCCAAATACAAGCATATAACCAAAATGATCTTCAATTATATCAAATGTCCATAACATAAAATCTTCTCGAATATAATGTGTAAATAAATAGAGCCACCAAAATATTTGATATGTAACCATTTGTATAGTTATTTCACCAAATGTACGATATTGAAATTCAATGGCCAAGTATCAACAGTCTCATACAATGTCAAATCTATTTTATACTCTATTTTCTACTTCTTTTTATTGGAGCAAAATTTTTACCAAGTATTAAAGCAAAAAGTCCAAAGAAAACTTATTCATTGACTGGTTTAGTCTTATTTATTCTACTAACAGTGATTAGTCTTATGGGCTACTATACAAAAAAACTATCATATTT